ATTGAACTATACTCAAGCCTAAAAGGTGGGAACTTCAACAGTAAAGGGGAGTTCTCAAATTTTCTTCCACTTTTTATCAAACACATAACATGAACAGTAATAGCTAACGTTCCTTCTTCCTCTTCTAACTTCCTGTTATCAAACACGCCTTAGAGGTGCACACGCACCGTCTTGGTAGGATCCTTTCCGACCTCAACTCAGACAGAGTCAGGAACCTGCTCCTTCCTCTGTCAGTCTCCAAACACTAGGCAAACGCCTTGAGCCCTGATACTCAGGTCTTCCCTAAGAGTACCATCTTGAACCATCCTAAGGTCAGCCACGCATGGGCCCCACAAAGGAACTCGGGGCAACGACCTGATGTCAGACAGAGGCCTCCAGCCTCCAAGGCAGAAACCTAGGCTGCCTTCTGTCCTTGGACACCACTCCCTGCTCCAGCTCATAGACACGACCCTTACATGTTCAAAGAAGGCGGGGCAGTCCAAGTCTCAGGCTTAGTTCTGGAGTGAAGTCCACAACTGTCTCAGAGTTAAGTAGGAGAGAGGTTTTCAAATCCTAACCAAAGAAGTCTCTTAGGCAGTCGAGGCCACCACCTTTGATGACCTCCTGCCCTGTAACCCCTATTTCACTCTCCAAACTCCAGAGCCTGATTGAGTTCAAGAGTATTGCAGGGTCGTCACTACTCAAAAACCACGGTCCCTAGACCATCAAGAACCGACAATCACAAGATCGGCATACAAGGCTCGAGTTTAGTCGGGGCAGGTCAAACCCCTTCAAATTGACTTGCCACGCACCACTCGCCAACCTCGGCAGCCCACTGTCACGCCAAGCTCTGAACCTTTAGAAGAGACGGTCAATGTCATGGTGATCAATGGCCCAGATGATGCTCATGAGGAGCAAATGAACAAATTCAAGGAAATGATGTAAACCATCCTTGGAAAGATGGAACGCCTAGAGGCCTCTAGGTATCCTTCTTCGCCGATTCCCCAACTGGTGAGGACACAGTTCCTAGGCAAACTCCTCCATCAGCCTTCCAAGATAGTTCTACCTCCCCTGAGGTCTCCCAAACTGACATAGATGCTATGGTGGCCCATAGCCTCAAGAACAAGGTCTCAGGCATGCAGGAGACGCCTACCCCTCGTACATAAACCAAGTGAGCCGGTTGACAAGTACATCACCCGTTGGAGAGATTTGGCAACCTTCCATGCCACTCCCATGACTGAGAAGGAAGCGGTCCAGACTTGCATACGAAACATGCTTCCCGAGATCGCTCTACATGTCGAGGCATCCAATCCACCCTCCATGTCAGAGGACATCTCCAAGGCAGTTCATATTGAGGATTATTCAAGCATCATGGCAACCCTCGTCAGCAACTTGCCAGCTCAAACGTTTTCTCCAACTGTCGGGGCAGTAAAACGAAAGTAATCAGCACGACCGTCACCACGGCTGACACCAAAGGCACGGTTCCTCAAACCCTGGACCTTTCCAAGGCACAGGCGTCTCCAGCTGGGGGTAAGCAGCTGTCTTACAACAATGTCCAGCCTCTTAAAAATTATAGGTGAAATGATTACTGAGCTCAGCACCAGAATAAGGTTGACCCCTTTGACTCATAGTGGATGCCTGCACTTCTTCGACTATTGCTAGAACAGAACATGATACAGTTGTCGAAGGCCAATGCTGTGGAGGTCGCTGGGCAGGAGGCAACTGAGAAGTACTGCGCTTATCACATGAAGGAATGCCACCCCACGTATGACTGCTATAAGCTCAACGACACAATCGAACCTCTTATTAACAAGGGTCAGATAAAACTCGAAGAGTTGAAGAAAGCGTTCGAGGCAACTAAGGTTTCCCACCTAGTCACGATACAAGAGGACGACAGGTCACCCGCTATCCTTTGTGCATTTTTCTTCATAATGCTCAAAGAAGGGCTCGTCACTCCCAAGATAGCAAGGCAGCCCAAGTTCCTGCCACCATGATCCGAGAACCTCTGGTGCACGTATCACCACATACAAGGCCATGAGTTGAGCGAATACACTGGCTTCCACAAGCTCTTGGCAGCGAAGATGCAGTAGTGCTAGGAAGTTCAAGGCAGAAGGACACCCTCGAGTCCCTCTTTTGCATGAGCAAGTAGACCTCCTAACGTAAGCCCAAGGAAGCGTTGAGTTAGACCCTTAGCAGGGCCTCTTCAAGGCAATGCTCCAACAAGGCTTTGTCACTCCCAAGCCCGCCAGGCAGCGGAGGCGTCTTGCCCAGGGTAGGAAAAAACTTTGGTGCCCATATCATCAAGTATGGGGCCACGAACTCAAAGAATGCTCTGGTTCGAAGCTATAGTCGTGGAGAAAGTCCAGCAAGGCCACATCATTTGTGCGGTTCTCCCGAAACGCATCCAGGCTATCGCTTGCATTCCAAAGGAAGCCACACTACCAGCCCCTCATGAGTATACACTGGACCTTTCAGAGCCTTCGACCTCTTAGCCCTGGAAAGTCTACCATGAGCAAACTAGGCTCAAATCCTTGAAACATGAGGCAGTCTACTAAGCTAGGGCTACTCACCAACCTAATAGGGTGGCCCGTTGAAATAATCGTCCTCCTCAGCCACCAGCAGAGGAAGAATTCCTCAAGCCCCTTCCTCCACTGCCGACCTTGCAAGACTTTATCCTAGGCATAGCTCGCCTCGTCCTTTCGTCCAATCAGGCAAACATCCCCGAGTAACCAACAGCTCGAGATGCCCCCAATATGGGTGACGATGCTAAAAGCACCCCACGACTGTCAAACCCTGGGCAAGACCTACAATATCCCTTGAGCACGTCCAACTCTGACGATGATGTAAAAAGCTGTTCGAAATGTTCTAACTCTTCTTCTCCTCCCTCCTCTTCTATTTTCTCCACAGGCGCAGCTCGACGGTGCCTAGACTTCGACACTCTAAACGGATAGTTCGGAGGCACCAGCCTCACCAAGCCACAACAAGAGCACCTCAAAGAGATGCTGGCCCAGGCGGCTGGATTCTCGGCAGCTGTTGATGCCCTGTCAACACAAGCAAAAACTGAGTCATCTTCAGGTTCCTACTCCCACAAGGCCTACCACATGATGTGCATGAAGCATCACCTAGCCCGAGGAAAACACCAAGTGATCACAGTCACGAGGTCATGGACTCCCCGTTCATAGTTGACGTTCCATTGCCTGGACTAGCCAGAGATCGGTACTCTCCCACACTGTGCCCCTCCTAGAACCCGAGATGTCAGGATCATGGGCTTCTATGTTCGAGGTCAATGAAAATCCTGGTGAGTCTCCTGATGAGGAACTCCCGAAGGCTCCAGAAGAGTGGAAGAAGGCAATCAAGCCACAGCTGGTGAGCTCAAAGAGATCAACCTAGGGGATGAGGCCGACCTAAGGCCGACTTTTATCTCAGTAAAAATGTCCTCAGAGGAGAAAGAAAGTTATATCTCCCTCCTCCGAGCAAATCGGGACGTCTTCACCTGACTGAGTCCAAGAGTATTGTTGCCCATCGCCTTAGTATTGATTCAACCAGCAAACCCATGAAGTAGAAATCAAGAAGGTTTAGACCCGACCTCGAGATGCAAATCGATGCTGAGGTGAAGATGCTCAGGCAAGCAGGATTCATATGAGAAGTCAAATACCCAAAATAATTGGCAAATGTTGTCCCAGTTAAGAAGAAGAATGGCCAAATTAGGGTATGTATTGACTTCTACGATTTGAACATTGCCTGCCCCAAGGATGACTTCCCCCTCCCATTCACCGAGATGCTGGTCGAGTCCACACTTCATTGCAAAATCTTCTCCTTTATGGATGGGTATTATGGCTATAATCAAATCAAGATGGCACCAAAAGATGAGGATGCTGCTGTGTTCTTGACCCCAAGAGGCGTATTTTGCTACACTGTGATGCCTTCGGGTTAAAGAATGCCGATGCCACATACCAGCAGGCCATGACGACCATCTTCAAGGATTTGATCCACAAGGAGGTTGAGTGCTATGTGGATGACCTGGTGGTGAAATCATAAACAAAGAACGCCCACATACAAGACCTCAAAAAGATATTCAAACGACTGCGGTCTCACCAACTCAAGATG